CAGCATTCAATGCAGGACCAGCAGGTTCTGCAGCAGCTTCTTCCCCACCGCCATCACACTGATGAACTGTTTAACTCTAACTTGTGCTTATAATTTTATAATTATATAAATAACATTATGAAAAATGGCATTTTGCACCATATTTTTGTACTGCACTAAAGCTTTCCATATGAATGCCCTTTTGCACCATTATTTTAAACTGGTTTTCATTCTGATCACTGCTGCACTTTAAATGATAATGTTCTTTTCACTGTTGGAAGCTGTAAGCAACGTCATATCATTTTGTATGCACTCATTGTATACAAAACGACAATAAACCTTTTCTAAGTCTATTTATTCCGCATTTAGGAGGAAGAAAAGAAAACCACCTAAGTTGGCTGCCATTATTCAGAAAAGATCTGTAAACAACAGAGAACAAAAAATCCCTCAAAATTAATTTTCCCTCTTGGCTCCCTCCTGTCAGGAACAGGGCGGAGCTCGGACCTCAGCGTTATCAGTGTGGCTATGTGTGACCATAAATGATCTTAACTGGTCAAACAATGCAGAGAACCCTGAAATGAAGCAGTTATTGATTTCACCGCATCATCCTTATTTCAGAAACCTAAATCAATTTCAATCATCTGATATGGGCATTTTTTTTATCATTGTGACATCCATCTCCATAGCTTAGAGCTTTATCTGCTTTATCTTGCAGCACCATGGTTGTGGCACAATATTCAAAACTCCCTGCAATTACGAACTCTTATTCCACTACAGCACTTTAAATCACTACTGAAAACTGCTTGCACAGAGAATTGTAACTGTTATTCTAGAGTCTAGTTTATGATTGATTTTATTATGTTGTCCTGTGTTTTTATATGTCTTACTGTACTGCTGCCTCTTGGCCAGGTCTCCCTCGAAAAAGAGATTTTATCTCAAGGGACTTCCTGGTAAAATAAAGGTTAAATAAAATAAAAATCTCCCAAAGCTATAGACGCTCTCAAACAGCCAGTAGAACATGCAGTATGCTAATTTTAACATGTGGGAAACACACCAGTTTGCCTGTCTTATCAGACGCACATGTAGTCTTTGTTGATCAACATATCCATCCTATTCCATCCACAATTATATTTATTTATTTTATTTTGCATAACCAGTTTAGCACTCCTTATTTAGAATATGTGAAGCTCAGGCCCAAAATGGATATTTCTTCCACTGAAGATCATTTCTGTTTATTATCAAAAATTATAAAATTCTTCCAAACACGGTGACAATGCATTTAGCTCACAAATTAGATTTACAGACTTAGACAACATTTATTGTTTATTGTTCCCTAACTCTAAAATGAAAGAATCAGAAAAGTTTAAGTTTTGTTTTGTACAGTTTTAACGACTTTTCCATTTCTTAAAGTGTTGCAGTGATCAAATGTAAACATTGTGAGAGACAAAACATGGTGTGCAAAAAAAAAACAAAAAAACTCATTGATCTGGAAGTTCAGAGCGTTAAATATATTTGGTGCAAATATGCAGTATTTTTGGTTTGGTGTTATTAGTGTGCTAACCTGACTCCCCCAGATGGATTTGCTCCGCATATCCATCTGGAAACCTTCC